CAAACTCCACAGAGCTTGCATATCTCCACTCATTAGATACTCGCATTACGCGTACTAACATTGCTGACATTGTTTGTTAGGGGTTGGATAACAAAGATTTGATTGGATGCAATGAACTAATCAAATCCCAATCGACACACTACGTGGGCTTCTGGCATTAGACCTTGTACTAGTACCAGAACATTGTTGTCGTTCATTAGAGTCACAATCACACCAAGGTCATGGAATCCTTGGATCACCAAGCCTCCCCTCTCCAGTAGCTTACGCTATACAATATTAGCATCGTTGGACGCTATGAGGGGAAAAATTGTTTGCTCTTCCTAAATAATAGCATTACTTGGACATAAAGTCATGATAAGAACAAACGTAGATATATACTCTTCAAACCAGAAACTATGAAAAAGTGATAGAATAAGAGGTAGAGAGAGTGAGTTGATGGAAAAGTACTTACACTGCATGAGGGATAAGGGTCACAGTGTTCTGGCCAAATTCATCTGAATTTGGCGAAGATGTGGCTGGAAGATGCTGTCACACTAGCAAGCATAATGATGTCGAAGAGGTGCATGTACTCTTTCACTATATTATCAACTATTGATGTTGGATGCAAAACAAGTGTTATGCTGCAAAGTGAGAGTGGAGATGAAAAGGAGATTATGACAGAAAATATGTGTGTAGTGCGCTTTGAGATAAAGAGTGTAAGAGAGTTTGAGAATATTCCATTAAAAATACATATACTGTCAATAATGATAGAATTCATACTGAGAAAGAAAAAGGTCTATAGGTATTGAGAAAAGCAATGTTTATATTTCTATTAAAATTGATAATGGGTTACAATTAATGTATCAGATAATGAAAGGTTGTGGCTCTTGAAATTTACAATTGAGGTAAAAGGTGTATATATATACACAAGAGACTATACATAAAACCCTAGGGCAAGGACCCCTGAGGATGACTCAACAGATAAGAACAAGGAATATGCTTGTCCTTGTGTTGAATATGCCTTTGTGATTGTTGGAGCGTAGCAGCTGCAATAGCATGGGTGTGTTGACCATTTTCTGGTTTTTGCTGGGTGTGATGATCATTTTGATCACCCATCGAGTTATGGCTAATAAATAATATGGTCATAACAAAAAATTAAACTAGTCATAAACAAGCAATCATATACATTTTTAAGTAAATGAACTCATTAAACTTGGGGCTATTGATTTCTCAATATCTCCATTTCTTGTGTTACAGGAGCATCTTTTTGTTGTGCATCAACCTTTCTCTCAATCTCTTCACCTTGAATACCATTTGGAGGTTTACGAAATTTAATTGAGTATTCACAATGTAAAAAACTAAAAACTAAAATATATGAATTTTTGTCTTTAGATAGATAAGTATCATTTGGAGGTTTAGGAAAATTCAAACTTTGATCACGTAAATCTGATAGAAATATCATTGTGTCATGAACCGTGTCTTCCCATCTGGCACATGCAAATATAAATTACATGAAACCATCACATTTTGGGTAGGTGCCTCCTTTCTACTAATAAATGGTATTTGATTAGAAGGAGATACTATAGCTTGCGCATGAACACCATCTATAGCACCCATACAATCTTACAAGTGATAAAAAGCCAAAACATAAAATTAATTAAAACATAATAAAGCATATACAAATACTTAAGAGTAGTAAATGCAATAGTTACCTTGAAATGAGGCATATATCTAGAATCCTGTAGGGGATATAATCCTACTCATGATTAAAAAATTGAAGTTTGAGGTTAGGATCTTCCATGACAACAAACATCTCTCTCTTCCCTTGAGCACAAAACAATTTAGTTGCAAACCACCACAACTTGCTACCACGCTTTGCCCCATATAAAGTTGCAACATCTTTCATCACTTCAGCAACACTAGTTCCTTGTGAAACTATATTAGTCATTGATGTTCCAGTACTCCTACTCTCAATCACCTCAACAAGATGTTCAATTTACAGTATAATGTTGCAGCACCTCCCATTTCCCCCATCATTTACCTTTCTTCTCATTATTATCTTGAATTTCAAGTGATTGATTAGTTCTCTTTTTTGGCACATTGTTTGTAGTTTGAGTGGTTTCAATAGGCACGGACTCATTCGAATCACCGTTAACTTCAAATGGATTGACATCATCATCACTTTCAACTGGAAGTACAGCAGATGAAAGTGTCCATGAATGCTTCCCAGTGGTTGTGGCATTCAAAAAATCCTATCTAACTTCTCCTCCATCTCAAGACTAATACCCTCAAATTGGAATCTTGTATATTTGGGTTCTACATGCATTATGACATATACAAATATTAGAATGAATTTTTAAACATAGTTATAAAAAATGGATAACAATACTATATTAAAGCAAGAACAAAAAAAATTCAAATACCTGAATTTTATGTTGCCACCATTCCTCAAATGCATCAATAGTATGCTTAGCGAGGTTCCACCCAAGACTAGTTTCCTTCCCTTTTAGATCTTTCCATAATTTCCATTCTCTTTTTTAGTAAATCTCTCTTGTTTTTCAATTGAAATTTTTCATACGGTCTTCCTATGTCTTTACTAATATTTGTAACCAACTTTGTCCATCCTACTTTATTAAAGTGAGTATCGGGACGATTGCCTAGATCCACCTCCTTGATACAAAGGTCAATGAAGATGGCTATAGTTTGAGTATTCCACAATGCTGACAATTTTTAAGATCCACTTGCAACATTTTCAGTTATGGTGAAGTTACTATTCTTCTTTGTCATCTTATTGCAACAAAGACATTATATATAAGCACACAAGAAAATAATAGGTATACAAGCAAATTACAAAACAAACCAAACTAGTCACAACTCAAATGCAATGCATAGATGTTTATCTAATCTGACAATGCATAGATCTATCCCAAATGCAAGGAAAGGTAACATTTAACTAACTGCATACAATCCGATTAAGGGATTAGAAAGTCACAATGTAAAAACCATGGATGAAAAAACAAGGCTAACAGGGCAGGTTGTGTTATAATATGTTATTGTATAATTACATAGTAAAATCTTCATCAACAGTTCAAACTAGCAACAAGATAAAATCAAGGGACATAGAACTAACGAACAAATATATATATATATATATATATGCAATATTCAACAGTACAATGTAAAGGATATTCCTCGTTGTGTGCTAGTAGAACAATGAATACAACTTTGCTGATAAAAATTAAAAAGAAAATTTTCATACCATGAAATATGTAGAAATTTTAGGAATCACAATCTTGAATTGCTCAAGAGACAGACCTTATCACATGATAAAAGTAAAAATTGTGTAAGGCACATTATCAAAACAAATCTTGCCATAAACTATAATAAAGTCTAAAATTATTTCATTAGGGAATAATCATAAAAGGTTTTTGTTTTTGGCAGGAATTAAAGGTTAGCACAAAAATTAGTACAAAAAAAAAACTATTTAGAAGCTTTTGGCATACAAGAAAAGAATCAATCTTCCTTTATTTTTCTGTGGAAGAATAAATAATAAAGGGCACAACAATGTCATATCCAACTAAGCATTCATATAAGAAGCATAATTTGACAAGTAAATGTATTCCGGCAATAAAAGTTCCTAAAATAGTGACTGCATTTTGAAAATTCTAGAATAAACATCTTTTTTTTTTTTTAAACACTAGAATGACCAACTTTTAAGCCCAACTAAAAAATCTCAAACCTTAAGTGTAATTTCATTCGTAGACAAGAACTCACCTTTTCCTTTTGATGGCTACCAATTAGAAGAAAATTACCATCGATATTTATACTTGTAACCGCAACCTACAATATAACAAATCAAACTAACATTATAATATGAGATAGAGAGATATATATATATATATATATAACATTAAATAGAACTGAACAAACAAGTTTCCACGTGTACAACAAGCAAACAAAATGTAACATTAAATAGAAATGTACAAACAAGTTTCCACATGTACACCAAGCAAGTACCCTTTAATGAATACCAATTAGGAAAGATTACCATCTATATTTATGCTTGTAATCACAACCTGAGATAGATCAAATTTACGCATTATAATATGAAACTGAAACCTTAATTATTTTTTTTTCTTTTCCACATAAGTATTTTTAGATAGATTATGCGTCTATTTTTTGGGTACTGACTTTTGCCATATCAAGTGCAAGTTCTCTAACCCTCTGTTTGGATGAGGGAAAATAGCTCGAAATTTAGCTAATAGTGCGTTTGGATGAGGGAAATAAACTTGGGATTTTGACAAAATTCAGAATTTTTAAATTGACATGAACCAATTCCCGTATTTGGATAAAAAAAAACATAGAAATTTAGAAATTCCGCGTGGGAAAAAACATGGAATTTGGATATTATAAATCTCAACTTTAAATTCTATCTAAAAGTCGTCATTTCTAAAATTCCAAGAGAGATTAAGTTTTTAAAAAAGATAACTTTACAAATAAAGGTTAAATTTCTTGTTTTAAATCTGTCACCCAAACAAGAAACTTTACAAATTCTATAATATTAATTTCTATCATTTTAAATTCCATCATTTATGAAATTCCTTGTACTTTGAAATTTCCTCATCCAAACCCACTGTAGAAGTCGAGAATTTAAGAGAAAAAATTGACAATTACTTTGTTTGGCAAGTTAAGCGCATAATTTACTAAATGACACATGGAAAAAATGGTAGAAATTGAAGCATCATATTCCCGAGTTTAATTTATATCAAAATAGACATCATTTCACAATTTCCATAATGTCATTTACAAAATTCTGTTATTTACAAAATTAGACATGTATAACTATAAATCTAAATACTGAAATCTTCAATTGCCATAAATTGAAATTATAAAAATCGAAATTCAGTCATTTTAAAATTTTATGTAATTTTCAATTTATTTAGGTATAGGGTAAAGTAGGGATCAAAATTTAACATGTTCTTATGATTCTGCCTTTTGCAAAGTTGTAATTCTGCCTTTTGCAATTCCCACTGTCGAGTTCCAAGTCGTTAGCCACACTCCACCCTGCTACTGTTTCTCTCTCTCTCCCCCTCTTTATCCCGGTCGACTTCGGAAGCCAAAACCCACCCAAAAACAAAAAAAAAACAAAAATTCTCATTTCACAGCCATGGCTTCCTCAACCGACCTCAAGAAAATACTAGGTGACCTCAACAAGGACTCCTTCATATCCCTTCTCTCCAAGCTTATTGGGGAGTCCAAGTACCTCCAAAACAACCCACCTGAACTGATCCCTCAGGAGGACCGAGCGGTCAAGCACGTGCTTGATTCCCTCCTGCCCCTTAGCACCACCACAGGCGGTGGACCCTTGGTGATCAACCATGTAACATACTTTCCTGGCAGAGGAAACGTTATTGTAGAATACCCAGGAACTGTGCCTGGGAAGATCTTGTCCTTTGTGGGGTGTCACATGGACGTGGTCACTGCAAATCCTAATGACTGGGTTTGTTTCTTATATCTAATCTTTGGCTTTTGCTCTGTTCTTGTTATCTTGGGTTGGCTTGTATTCGTTCAAGAACATTAGGGTTTGGCAGTCTATCTTCAACATATAAATAGCTGTTCAATTCAATTTGTGTTTTTGTTGATTGTGCCTGTATGCCGATTCTTTTGGCATTTCTCTTATGGGGTTTGTCTGAATTAGCTGGAGCCTCAGTTTGATTATTACTTGTTTCGAGTTGTGTGTAAACTAATCTGGGTTCGTGTGGTTATGGCATTAGTGGTTTCGAGGCTATCTATTCACATCAGTATTTTCTGAATGTTTATTTTTTATTTACTTATGCTCCTGATATTTTTCAGGTTAGCGTTTCCCCTTTGGAGATAAATATTTATGTTTCCCTGATTCTATCTGGGATTTTATGCGTCCAATTCAAGGTTGAACTCGATTGGCTAAAAGAACTCACGATTTTTGACAAAATTCATTGGTTTTGAACTGCCCTTTATTCGTCTCTGGCCTAAATTAAATTCAGAAGTTCTCATTTTTTCTGTGTGGCCTTGCCTTTTTCAAATCATTGATAACTATGGTTTGGTTTCGGCTAGCTTATCCTTCCTCCATATCTTACCAACTCCTTATCTAGTGTTTATTTCAATTGGAATCAGATGTTTGATATATTTTTAGTTCACCATGATGCATCTAAAATCAATTGTGAAGTTTAACCAGAGTTTTCGATGATTTTCTTTGATAAATGTTTTGTTTTCTATTGTGTTCTTGTTTGGTCTTTCAGTTTGCATAATTTGACAGTAAGCTTTAGTTCAAGACAACCATAAAATGTTGTAACTGTGGCCTATTAATTTTTTTTTTCTTTTTCTCTTCACAGCTTAGGCTCTGAAGCTCTTTGAATGTTCCATATGCAATGATAGTTTAGTCTTTCATTACAGGAGCTTACTTTTGTTGTTTGCATTGTGTACAAATAATGGATCACTACTGGGATGTAGTTAAAATGATCATCATTATTTTATTTTCTCAATTTTGTTAGGTAGTGATGATTCATTGTGCATCAAATATGATTCTTGTATTTGCAGGAGTTTGATCCATTCTCATTGAGCATTGATGGTGATAAGCTTCGTGGCCGTGGAACCACTGATTGCTTGGGCCATGTTGCACTTGTAGCTGAGCTCATGAGACGGCTCGCAGAGACAAAGCCAAAATTGAAGTCCACTGTGGTTGCAGTCTTTATAGCAAATGAAGAAAATTCTGCCATTTCAGGTGTTGGTGTGGATGCACTCGTGAAGGATGGGCTACTCAGTAAGCTAAGGGAAGGACCTCTGTAAGTAATATGCATTTCTTGTAAAACTGAAGGAAAACTAAGAAACATCTCTCTGATTCATGTTTATGATTATGACTTTTGGGGTTCAACTCAGGTTTTGGATTGACACGGCAGATAAACAACCTTGCGTTGGTACTGGTGGTATGATACCTTGGAAGCTTCATGTGACTGGCAAGCTTTTCCACAGTGGTTTAGCACACAAGGTATACCACTATGTTGTGTAATTCATTGACTTGTCAGTGTACAGTTTCTTTTCAGGAGATTGTCAGGTACATCTTTTGCAATGACATTATGGAAATTAGTTAGACTGGTTTTGTAGTTATATTTTTTTATCTCTACCCGAGATATGAGAGGGTGAGGAAAAAGCCTGTATTCTTTTTAATAAGGGCACTTCCAGCAGTGGGAATCTTGCCATGGCAAGGGGGGGGCTAGGGCTGACACTATTCACGGGAATAGTGTCTGCCATTGCAAAAAGTAAGTTGTACTTCCAGCAGTTGCCATGGCAAGGGGGGTACTATTCAATTTTTTGGTTTTTTTCACAATTTTGTTTACTTAAACAATTAATTTGGATAATATTTTCGGATAAGATTTTTGGGTTCCTATGTGTCAATACTATTCATATCAGATCAGATTTTCGGTTTCAAATTTCAGATAAATTTTTTTTTTGGTATGGAATGTTTTGAATAAAAAGGAATTTTATTTAATAGTTTCTTTGATAGAGAAAAATTAAACTTGAAAGTGAAAAAAATTTAGAGTTGAAAGTGAAAAAATTATTGAGTAGAAAGTGAATTTGTTGTTAAAAGTGAAGAGTATGGATTGGTATTTATAGAAAAAAATTCAGTATTTTTTGGGATTTTTTTCATAATTTTTTGCCTTGAAAATTCCAGGCCGTTGGATTGGATGAAAAATCGGAAATCGGAAGGACCTGGTTGCGCCACGTGGCAGGGGAAAGAAAAAAAATTTGATTTGCGCCTGCTGACGTCACGCTGACGTCAGCGCGCCTTCAGGCTGGAGCTTGGGCTCCTCCTGCCTTCGGGCCAGCCCAGGCTCATGGACCCCACCCTGCCCAGGCCAGCCTTTGTTGCTGGAACTTGCATTTGGGCTCTTGCCCGCCCCCCAGCCCGAGCCCTCGGGGGCTGCGGGAAGTGGCCTAACTGGGAATAGAAATGGGGACTTCTGGAGTGGCTGAGGTATTAAGTTGGTTAGCAAAGAAAAATGTTACAGGTTGAGACAAACTTGACTGGTAAAAGTTGAAGGTGCTACTTAGATGGATGTGGCTGAGTTATTAAGAGAAGGCGTGATAAAAATTTCCTCAATAAAACATAAAACAATATAAGATACTTCTATCTCTTATGCTGCAAATCCTATGACTGGAGCTGTGTGTGGGGGTCTCGGTCAGCAGAATACCATACAGTGATGTTATTTTTTTGTTGACCCTAGGAGAAGCAAGAACGCTTAACAACTTAGGGCTCAGATAATAATAAGAGAAGGCATGATGGTTTCCATATAATAGAAAATGCCTTCAATGACGTGCAATATAGGGTTTCAGTAGTTGTGCCCAAACTATTATGGATAGGGAAGTGTTGATTTTATATGGGCTTTTTATGAATATCATTGCTTTAAAATGGTTTTAAATGATTTTTTTTATTACTTCCAAAGAAGGTAAAAAGTTATCTTGGTTCAAACTCAATTTTATTTTCTTTGACCTACAAATGGCTCCTATATTTCGTTAGGATAAAAACTTGTTAGGAGCAAGTGAATCAGAGCCTGAACTTGTATCTACTTGGACAATTGAGCATTTTTACAATAAGTTAAGAATCAAAGCAGAAATTACATCCTGTTTCTACTTATTTATCTCTTGAGGCTGATGTTGAATATCTGCAGGCTATAAACCCTTTGGAGCTAGCTATGGAAGCACTGAAAGAGATCCAGTCACGGTTCTATAGAGACTTTCCTCCCCATCCTAAGGAAGAGGTCTACGGATTTGCAACACCGTCAACCATGAAACCAACTCAATGGAGTTGTAAGTTTTAACGTTTCAATCTTATGGTAAAAATGTTGGGAAAATGCTTGTACATTACATTGACCTTTTTCTGGTTGCAGATCCTGGGGGCGGAATAAATCAAATTCCAGCAGAGTGCACAATTTCAGGAGATGTCAGGTGTATAATCTTCTCGATGACTTTTGTTTGAGGCCTTTATGGTAAAATGATATCTCTTTTCTTTTCTTGGTCGTAAGAGAAATGACATCTCCAGAGGATTTGTCTTTAATCTTTTTCTTTTCTAGGAGTTGCTCTTAATTCCGTTTTTTTTTTCTTTTTTTTATTGGTGCAGGTTAACTCCCTTCTACAAGTAAGCAACCTGCTTTGTTTGGCTAAGTTCCGTCTATTATAGTTTCATTGTAAAAATTTCATATGGGCTCCATTTTTAACTTGGGAAACACTATTAACCTGCTACAGTGTTAAGGACGTGATGGAAAAGCTTCAAGAATATGTGGATGACATTAATGAAAACATTGGAAAGCTTGACTCACGAGGTCCGGTGTCAAAGTATGTCCTACCAGATGAAAACTTAAGGGGAAGGTGCTCTCTCTCTCTCTCTCTCTCGTGTAATTCTTATAAGATATTCATTTAGTTAACATGTAATTACTCAATCATGTGAGCTTTCTTAATTTTAACATTAGTCAAATGCATGCCATAAACCTTTCCCTCTGCTTTCACAATCTTTCTTACCCTTAGATGATCCTTTGTTTTCTCTGCATTTTAAATAGCTACCATCAGATATGTCCATTTCCTAAACAAACAAACAAACTTTTAGGGCATGCTAATTATTAAAATAAAAAAAGTAGTTTTACTTTTCTTTTTCTCTACAGCCTCACATTAAGTTTTGATGAGACGTCGTCTGGAGTTGCTTGTGATCTCAACTCCCGTGGCTTTCACGTATTATGTAAAGCTACTGAAGAGGTTGTTGGGCATGTGAAGCCTTACTCAATTACTGGAAGTTTGCCTCTCATTCGAGAACTGCAGGTACAATTAAAAATAAATAAAAAATCTTGCTTCCAAGGCTTTGTTTTTTCCTTTTCTTTCTCTTGTATTTTTCCTTAACTATATCATTTTATTGTGTGCTAGGATGAAGGATTTGATGTTCAAACGTCTGGCTACGGTAATGATACTATTTCTTTTGGCGTTTTGGATTTAGTTCACAAAAGTTATAGATACTTCAGAACTTAGAAACAACCATAATGCTATGATGGCATCAAAGGTTGTATTACTTAGTGTATGTTGTGATGGTAATTAGTTTAAGAAAATAGACTTTGTGTGTATGAAGCTTTGAATTATAAGTGAGATGAGTTCTTGAGCCTATTGGCTGTCAATTGTGAGAGGATGAGAGCATAAGGGAAACTGAGCTCAGAAAGAGGAAACCTAATTTGTATGACTGTTTATACTGCGTAAGTGGTAAACAGATATGAAGGTCACCTGGTTAGTCTTGTTTAAAGGGCACACAACCTTTCGAAGTAAAGGACAATACTTCTCATGATAGCATACTATTTGTGCATGGTGTGATGGTAATTAGTTTAAGATGCTGGTATAAAAATATACTTGTGGATATGAAGCTTTGAATTACAAGTGAGATGATTTCTGGGCCTAGTGGCTGTCAATTGTGAGAGGATGTGAAGATAAGGGAAGCTAAGCTCAAAAAGAAGGAACTTAATTTGTATGACTGGTTGAGTGGTAAAACTGACGTGAAGGTGAGCTGATTAGTCTTATAAAAGGGTATTCTCCACACAACCTTTCAAAGTAGAGGAGAATACTACTCATGATATGCATAGCAGTTGTTTCTGGGAGTTCGTAGGTTATTATATCTTAGTTGATGATGTTCTGATTCTTTGCCGTTTTGCATGCATGTACAGGCTTGATGGCCACATACCATGCCAAGAATGAGTACTGCCTTTTTTCCGATATGCGCCAAGGCTACCAGGTGTTTGTCAGCATTATCTCTCAACTAGAGGACTGAGAAATAGCAAAGAGAAAAGAAGAAAACTAGAAGACTGAGAATAACAAGTTGCAATGATACTACCAAATCACACCAAAAATGAATCTGCCTATTTTTCTGATAGGTGCCAAGGCTACCGGGTGTTTGTTAGCACCACGCCTCGAGTCTTGACTAGAAGAATGAGAATCGAGGGGAAAATAAAGGGAAGTGAAAAGAAAGTAGAAGATTGAGAATAATGAGAAATTGTAAATGATACCTACCGAACCATGGCTGATCGGTATTGTTCAGAATTTCCAATAGTCATAGCTAAGCAAAATGTTAATTTTTAACTCTGGTTACGCGAAGGGCTTGTGTTTTTTCGTTGAGTTGAGTACATGTGAAGTGTTTATGGTTGTTATCCCTATTTTCATATATGTTTGAAGGCGAAATTCTGTAGTGACGGTGTCATATATGGACCCCACATCTGGATAATTTCATTAAATTTAGGTGAAGTTACTATTTAGATGAATCATGTGGCTAATATGAAGTCCACATCTATTGTTCATATATGACACCCTCATCATAGAATGACTCTTGTTTGAAGCATTGTGTCGTTGTTAGGCATTCGGTTGCATTTAGGAATTTGGCTACACTTATTTTGGGCTTCAAGCCATCACCATTGATTAGGGCCACTCGAATATGGTTTGGCCCAAATGGTGATCCATTTATCGGATCTTGGGCTTGGACTAGTCAGATTTCAACTAGGCTCAAACAACTAACTAATTAAATTATTTTAGGGGAAAAAAAATCAATTACATCATGTGTAGTTGTATCTTTGGATGTATCCAATGGTATCCAATGGTGAAAAGATAAAAAAAAAAAAATCAACCACCAAGTATAAAATGAAATAATCATGTTTGAAAAGAAATTTGGTTAATCCAAAGAGAGTGAGGAATGACATAAATCATGCAAAGCAAAAAGAGTGGATATTAATATCCTCCTAATTTATTGAATGGCTAGCCGCACAAGACAAGTAGCAGCAAGAGCATAGCTAGCATTGGCTTTTAATTATTTATTTTACAACAAATCTAGCAAGGCAAGATGCATATACAAAAGAATTAACGATATCTCACCCCCTTCAAGTTTGGCCTCATTATCGAAATGGGTCATGAGATTTCAAGTAGTTAAGAGCATTTAGTCCTATACATGAGATCATAGGTTCGATTTCTCCTCCTCCAATATGGAGATTTCTCTCTCACACACACAACTATGATGTCGTGAGGATTCTAACTTGAGACCTCTAGTCTGCAAGTCAATGTCCTTTTCTATTGGACTAGACCTCGTTGGCAAGGGCCTTAAGGCCCTCACTATAGAATGACTCGCCAGCAGTGTAACACAACAAGAATAAAACCCGTTCCTATTAGTTCGGTTTTGAATCTGAGGATGGACAATACAAAGGTAAATAACAGTCCAGGCCAAATCTTATGTATTGATTGGCTTCAGCTCTTTAGGCTACCATTTGTAGTAGTTCTTGATTCTTTCTTAAGTATTGCATGCAGTTAAGAAAGTCCTGCCTATGAACATGCTAAACTTCATTAATCCTCCCCGTCAATCACTTAATACCCTACAAGGTAAGAAACCTTCAAGTCCTAATTACGTAAATGTATAAATACCTTCATTCTTATTTTGTTAAGAAATAGTATGCTCAGGTTTTATTCAAACCACTCAAAAAACAATCAACTTTTAATTTCATGCTCATTTGTCTTTCAATTGAAAGACTTATTTGACAATAGCTTAAGACTAACAAAGCTTAAATACAAGTTATGAAGTGTACCAGATTTGATGAAATGCATTAAAATGCATGATAGCTAAATGCAGAGGCTCTGGATCCGTTCATCAGATACCATATGCACCCATATGAGATGTCAATTTTAATATAACCAAATTGAAGCTCTGAAAGTTCCTAGACTTGATGGGTTACATTACATGCAATTTTTATTTCATTTTATCCTACTTCCTAGGAAAGAATTAGATTGTAAGTTTATGGCATGGTCCAATTTTGTTTAATAATCATGAATCCATTAGAGATATTAACGATACTAAGAAAAGAACAATGAAATGAAATCCCATTAACTAAATTGAGTAGCCAAACAAGTTAATTTTCAGCTTTGCATCAATTTTCAATTTCACTGTTTAATTGCATCCACACACTAACAAACTCTTCCACTGTTTAATTACCAACTACTGTTAATTGGGTAACATATGTAAGCCAACATCTGCATACATCCAGACATTAGATATCCATGACCTCCACTGAGCTCTAGAACTCAACTGTGTCGAGTACAGTTCCCAAGGTCTGGGCTATGTTTGAGGACATCATGTTGCAGACATGTTCTTCCAGGTGTTTCTTGGCATCTGCCCTTCCCACATTTGCAATTGCAAGCTTCTCCGGCTGTGCATCGCCATCCTCAAGCAATGCATTATTGTACTTAATAGCTAAGTTGGACATCTCCTACAAAACCCAAATGAAAAGGTATCAAGACTTCAGCACTAAATGACACATGAATCAAAATCTGCTCACATTCTAAAACATGCTGGAAATTTTCCAACAGTCCCATTGTTAAATGGCAGCATATAACCTATTTTTCCTTCCTTTAGATAAATTTAGTTTTCATTTGGTCACAAATTTTTAACCAGGTAAACAACATCGAGATGAAGCTTAAGCAGTTTTTATAAAACTAAAATCATTAGAGTTTATGGACAGTGATAGAACATTGAGACCTGCCTATCAATCAAAATCAGATTTCAAGGTTTCAAAATAGCATAATTTTTCCTATGAGCAGTTTAGCGCAAGAAATCCGTTACGACGAAATTTCAGGTCTATGCTGGCCTAGAATTAAATTGCTTAGAACTCTGCCCCCTGTTAACCTCCACACTTAACCATAACCAGCGATAACCTCCTAATGATCCAGAAAGAAAGTGAAGCATACGCGAAGCCAAAGAGGAAACATGCTTCTATATTGAAAAATGTAACTAATATTTCCTTCAGCTATACATGCCGAACTAAACAAGAATAACCATAACGGGGGCTTCATGAAACCTTGTCTTACCTGAAGAGTCTGCTGGTTTGTTTTTGAATGAGCATCAAATTGCCTCATCGTCAGCCCATCAGTCCATTTCTTCTTATGAAGGTTAAGCAACATTTTCTCCTCAAGTCCATTCATCCTGAAATTTACTGCTAGGGAGTAATAATTCCGGTTTAACCCATGGATCAATGCCTGAAGAAGGAAATTACATAAGAGGCCAAAAAATTTAATTGCAAAGAAAAAATTTTAAAATTTACTTGTTGAGAAACTCACTTGACAGGATGGTTTGTTAAGCTGGCCAAGATTGGATGTGGTCTGCCGTGGCTCTTGGCCAAGCATCACAGTATTTGGGTTAATAAGGCGGAAAGCATCGATAACCACCTTACCCTTTACACTCCCACCACCACAGCCACAGCACGTCAATTTAAGGCTTCAAATCCCTGCAAAAGATTACCGGTATAAGAACATAACACAGTTTTCCCAGTATGCTAACCAATGATGCATAAAAAATAAAAAAAAATCCCAGTCAAGGGTATCATCAACAGAAGTAGAACATAAACAAATTGAGAAAAGTCAAAATATGCTTCCCTACAGAAGACCCAATCTTGGGTGATAGGCAGAGGAACAAAAGAGCGTACACACAAATAGATGTCATGTAAATCAACCAACATGGAATTTTGCACATCAATGGGGTAACTATACTCCCTTGAAAGGTAAAAATTTGGAATAGGACCTAGTGAAATTTGGGTCTAGAGGTTGTTGCCACATTTGGGGGACACACAAGAAAAGAACGAGAGTAGAGTAGGCTGAGGTGATCAAGCAACATGGACAAGATGTCAAGGGAAAAGAGTTCTAAAAGCAGCAACGATTTTTTAACAAAGCCGTCAGAAGCTGGTAATGTACAGTCCATGCATAGCTAGAATAGAGACAAAAATAAAAACGACATATAGAATAGAGAGAAGCTGGTAATGAACAGTCAATGCATAGCTAGAAATTTATACAATACAGAGATTTCTTTTGTAACAAAGAGTAAACTTGTGCTACATGAGAAGCAGGAAAATTGGAATTTTTTGATTAAAAAAAAAGCACAACCTGTTGCGTAGTCATGTCCACGCCAGATAACCAACAGCCAAATCCAGGATGCGAATGGTACCAGCCTACGACCATCTCATGTCTGCAATTTCAGTCAGAAGAAGATAAATTACGACAAGAACAAGACAGAGCAACATGGAGACTAAAGCATGACAAAAATAAAAAGATCATGTACAAGTATCATCTGTTAGGATAGTAGGAATGAAGGTGTGCATCATACATTAACATTATAAGAACACAGATGGGTAACATGGAGAGGAAAGTATGACACTAAAAATAAAATGAAAGTATTGAATGTAATTTTATCATCTTTCAATTGAATGTGAATTATGCAAGGGACGCTAGTAGGAGTCACATATTAATATCAGGGCAAGCTAATGTGAATACCATAAGGAATAATGTATGATGAATTATAAATTTAGGTTTTAAAGAGATGCAATCGAGTACACAACTACCCTAACAGCTACAAATTTAGTTGGTTTAATCAAAGTGAAAGAAGAGGAGTAGCGACCGTTGAGTTTGCTTAAGCATATCGAGCATATCAGTCTGGAAGACATGATCTATGGCCTCGACACTGACACCAGTACCACGCTGCGGCATCGCAACGACGTCCACAACATGAGTTGTGTATTTGTCAGGGAAGCTTCCGAGCAACAAGCCCATGACCTCCAAAGGAACCCCGGCTCTCCCTATTAATGATCAAAAACTAAATTGCATTGGCATGAAAAGAAAAACAACAACAGAAAAATAAAAAAGAGGGTCCAATCCAATCATCAGAATCAGGGCAACTCAAAATCCTCCCAGAAACCCTAGTTAGGATCTGTAAGTAAGGCATAATTTGGATAAGATTCATTTCATAAAGGCAACAATAACTTAGTTATGGTTTTGAAGTCCAACCCATGGATAAACCGAATGTAAGCAGCTAAGAAAACAATGTAAAAAGCCTAAACCAGAAAGTTGGGGAGCCTACCGTGATTGACCATTTTGAGAAGGGAGACTGGGGACATGTTGACCTTCTCCGAGGAATCGGGAGTTGGCTGGCCCAAACCCTCTCCGGCATTGGCGTCGAAAATTGTCCGAAACATCACTCTCTCTCTCTCTCTCTCTCTCTCTCTCTCTCTCTCTCTCTGCACTTTTTCTTATCGTCTCTTCTCTCTGTTTAAGCTCCGAACTATATTAGAAATATGTAAGCTATCCATCTAGCGTGTCCGCAAAGAAACCAAAACGGAAAAGGAAACGCCTCTCCTATGCTATCAGAGTATTTTTTAACTTACCATA